GGTATCGGTGCCGCCACTGCCGTACAGTTCTCCAGAGCCGGTGCTAATGTTGTGGTCACCGGTAGACGAGCCGATAAAGTGTCAGAAGTGGCCAAAGAGTGTCTCAAAGTATCACCGAAACAGTCGAAAGCACTGGAAGTGGTGGCGGATGTGACTAAACCGGAAGACTTGCGACGACTTGTGGACACAACTGTCAAACACTTCGGAAAACTCGATGTTTTGGTGAACAACGCCGGCGCTGGTGTTGGCGCTAAATTTGAAGACAAAGATTTTTACGACAAATTTCAAAAATCTATGCAAATAAATCTCAATTCTGTGGTCTATTTAACGCATATATGTGTCGAGCATTTGGAGAAAACAAAGGGAAATATTGTCAACATTTCAAGTGTCGCCGGGAAGAGAGCTGTAAGTCTAGTGCAAAAAAGTTCAAAATTCAAAATAATTTCTAAAACAATGTATTCATTAACAGATGCCTGGTTTCAGTCCCTATAGTGTGGCGAAGTGTGCTCTGAATATGTTCACCAAATGTATGGCCGCGGAGTTGGGATCCAAACGTATCCGCGTTAATGTCATCAAGTAATTCATAATTACTATCTATAAAAACAACAACAAAATCAATGTCTAAAATAAAATGTCAATCCTCTTATTTGAATGAACAGCCCTGGTCCAATTCGCACTGAATTTGAGGTAGCAATGGGTGTACCACAGGAAGTCTCGGATAAATTATTGGACGCTTATAAAAATCTGACCATGGTAGGTCGGGTAGGTGTGTCCGAGGACGTGGGCGACTCCATACTATACCTGGCCAGTGACCATGCTGCATTTGTAACCGGCACTAATCTGATCGTGGACGGGGGTGTTATTGCGGCTAATAATATTAATTCAAATGCTCTTAAAGATTTGATGTAAACGTTTTACATATTAAGTATCAAGCATCTTTACATATACAAGTATCTTTCAAATTAGAATATTTTTGTATTAAACTATATAATTGTACTGTTATTATAAAGTATTACAATATTGGTATTTTAATAAAATATGTTTTAATTGACAAAATAAACTTTTATAATTTCATTATATCAATTATTTGAGTCCGTAAGTAAATATTTGTTTACTTATAAAAAGCATAAATTATAATTTATAAATAAACAAAATATTATAAATATATTAAATGAAAATAAAATATGATGGTAAATATGACCTTGACAACTCCGTGTTCACTTTTTAAATAAAAATTATTACCGAATGGTTTTATTCCACTTTAATTGGCTCGAGATAATATTTTCATAATTGATAAGCTTGATAAATGTGAACCTTCGCAAGTTCACTATTAATTAATTGTGTATATAAGCACAGACCTGTACTAGGAAATGCCACAAATATTTTAGTAGAGTATACTAAAAAAGTAACATATTTTGCTTGCAATATTAGTCTACTTGTTTAAAATGTCTATTAATTTCAATTTCAGTGGTAAAGTAGTGCTGATCACAGGCTCGAGTGCGGGTATCGGTGCCGCCACTGCCGTACAGTTCTCCAGAGCCGGTGCTAATGTTGTGGTCACCGGTAGACGAGCCGATAAAGTGT